TTTCTTTCGACTTGCCCAGTGTCCTGAGGTTGACCTGACGCCATACGCATTTTAAAGCTATCCAAAAGTTTTGGACAACTCTTTAAAGCAACGACTTTCAAATTTCGGTCCTTGGTCACTATGTACAAATCCGGCGAATGAAGTGTGGGGTTATCACTGTCCCAGCATCCTGAGCCTGTAAGGGTTCAGCTTCTGCGACTTTGGGGAAATAGTCTATCATTGTGGGGTCCTGAGACTTCCCACAGGGTGGAAAAAGGCAGCAAGTGCAACCGAATACGTGCATTCCGAATAGAAGACAGAGAATGGGCCTGAGCATGGACCGAGGTCCAGCCCACGAGTACCAGAACCAAATAAACCCTAAAGGGACTGCCGAATGTCAGGTAGTCACATAAACAAAGCACTACAATCATCACCAAATCATAGCGGTTTTATCTCACGGTCTTTGGAAGTGGGCTCATGATATCTATGCCTACTTGCTCCCGCGGAGATGCGTTGGAATAGGCTTTAAGTGGGATACTCCTGTGAGGTGTAAGTTCTTAAAGCTAATGCAGGTGGCGTATGCACGGCGGAAAGCACAGACACGCGGTATCAGCAAGAGCTACCAATACCTTTCTCTTGCGGCGTCAACCATCTTCCATTCCCTAAATGGCCTGATTGATCATGTAAATCTAACAAAGCTATATGCGTCCACCACCTGAGCACTAGGCGACATTTAGAACCTGCCACATTGTCTTTGTGGGAGCCAAATTTTTTTTGGCTGTATTGCTCGCTGAATTCATCTCCTTATCTGCGAGCTGGACTGAGGATGTCCCACTGAAATGCTCTTCGATACCAGTCTCTGTTAAATCATCATATGAACCACACAATAAATGCACATTTATCGTTTCTGTATTCTTTGCCTGATTTTTAATGTTTATAGCATAGTATTTTGCATTACCATTTTTTGGGCCTGTTAATTTAAACATAGTTGCGCCACTCTCTTTTACCAGCTACTTTTGAACTCGTGTTAAATTTTTGCGATCCTCCCGAGGTCCTTTGCGTTCTACCCCGCCCTTCGTAATGAACTCAAAAAATGCGGCTTTTTGTAGTATCATTGATGAGTTAATCGATTCATGCGTCATGGAAGATGTCTTACACCTTCATCGAGCAATCAAGTTAGGCTACTCACACTTGATCCTCACTGATGCAGAAGATGCTGATGGTGGAGAAAGTGACTCCGCTCTTCTCCATCCTTCCTCTAGATCTGATTCAGTAAACAGATTTTCAGCTTGTTGTCGCTGCGTAAAGTGTCATTGCAAGGTGGCAGCAACTCGCTATGCTTCCCATCTATCCAATTGTATGGGTCTAGGTCGGAACAGCTCTCGAAGGGCAAATAAGTAAGTAGACCATAAGCAACTCATTGAATACTTTTGGTGTTACTTATCTGTGCCTCTCTGGTCTTTAGGCGCATTGCTGAGCAGCAGCGTTTCGAGGACTCGGATGATGTTGACGATGTGTATTATCTGGATCACAGTCCAATGTCATCGTCCGGACACAAACACGAGTACTCCTCGCTTTGTAATTACACCAAGAATCAAAGTTCAGGGTTTCCTTCTCGGACCTCAAAAAGTAATATGAAAATTACTGGGTTATCCACTAAATCCTCCAATGGCAGGAATACGAACAGCTCTCTTGCACCTGAACCCGTTTTCGAAAAGACTGATTCCTTTGACAGCATTTCATTTTCCTGTGATGATGATGAGAGCAACTCTTCGGAGGTCACTAGACGCTCTGGTGTTTCACGGATCAGGCGGCATCAGAAGCTGCATGTCTAGATTTGCGTTTAGTGTCATCTCTTTCCTCGCTGCTCTCCCTCTCATGTCCAATCGGCCAACCGTTGTCTTTCCAGAGGGTAGTGTTTAGTACTCCGATCAAGCATTTTTGTACGCATTTTACGAGGACAAAATCTAACACCCCTAAGGTTTCATTCATCATCGTCTTGGTTGCGGTTTCCTTTAAGTGGATGCTGGTTAAAATAGGAATTAGAAAATAAGAGAAGTATGGCGCTTTTACCTAAGTTTTTTGTAAACAACAATGCCGTCAGGTGATGTTTTCCTTCTGGATGGACTCATGCTAATTTTGTTCCGCGTTCTCGTTGTGATTTCGAATCATGTCCAATCTGCCGGCTTCCAATTTATTTGAATAAAAGATTGACGATTTGGAGTGCGTTCACAAGTGCCTTCTGCTCTTGCTTTTAGGCTATGGCAGGACATACGTTTCATTAATGTGACTGGAGTGTTGTTGCCATTGCATTCCTCAGGCAGACTATGCTGAATGATCTTGAAGCGAGTTAATATTATTTTGAGTGCATTGGGGACCCTCATTTTGGTATTATTAACGTAAGGTTTGTGGTCTCTAATCAGCTATAGTGAATTTCCGATTGTCTAGAGTCGTACATTCTCCAGCCTCCCGTTCCGAAAAATGCTATGACTTGACTGACCACACCTTCGTTTAGAGGATGACATTTGACCCACTTTTAAGGAAGAAAGGAAAAGCTCCATTTTAACGGGTCTTTTTTTAGACCTCACCGACGCATGTCCATGTGCAAAAACGTCCGGAGAGCTACTTGTCGAAACGGTTACGTTGCTCTGAGACAGCTTTCGTTACTGCTTTGTGCAATTCTAACATTTGGGAAATTGTGCAAACATTCACAGTATTTCATCAAGTAGTAACGCTGGAATCCCATATTTTCATGAATAAATATCTTCCATCACGCAAGAGGATCGATTACTTTTGCGACCTTAAGTCGCAGGTCGATTGGACATTTTGCGCACCAACTGCTGCGCACTTGCAAACCGTACCATCTTTGATATTCGACCTTCAACAAAATAGTCGTCTATGCCATGCGTCCACTCTGGAAACGAACAAGCCTTGAGGTTCAAATGGAAGGCATTTACTTACATTCCCTCACTATGTGCTGCCGTATGTAACCACTACCGCTTTGATCAACGATGACGATTGACGGACAGACCGTCAGACTGGGCCAACATCACCTTTTCCTTCATTCTACTTGTCGTCATGCTGCAGTAACATCGATATCAGAATCATTTAGCAAAGCAATGCTCTCGAATTTCTCATTCATCAAAGCACCAGAATCGTGAGACATCAGCAGAAATCGGTCCGCGTTGTCACAAAGGGATGCTTGTTCACGGAGTGTTTACATTGTCCACCCTATTAATTTATGCCATAAAAATACGAATTGTAAAACTAAGTTATAGCCTTGTGTCTGGTAATAGGATCGCGGCTTGAAACCACAAAGATAGGATCACTGGAACGACCGAACCTACCAGACCATCAATCCAAATCCTAAGGCCTCCATTCACGTAACTTAGGGGAAAGATAGAAAGGCAAACGCTGGTCGTTTAGCACATCAACCGAGGTGAAATACCATAAGAACAGTGTCGGCAACGCGGGTTTGAAACAAAAGACGATAATTAAGGAACCAGATTATTTACGAAAATGTCGCGGACACGATAACGAAGGGTCTGGAAGCGTAAAGGGGTGTGGAAGAGTGAACTGAAGGACGAAAAACTAGGAGAGAGTACGGTTCTGCCACTTCTCCTGAACTGAGCGCACCAAAGCAACGGCTCGGTTCTCCTCTGCCGAGGTCAGTATCCCGGTACCTCGAAGCTGGGTGATCTTCGCGACTAGCACGCTGAGAATGTCATTGCCAAGCTCCTTCACTGTGTCATCATTCATACGAAGATGGTTCACTGCTTCCTGCAGGAATCTGTATGCGTGAGGCAGAAAGTCGAAATAGGAAATCAAACTTGGTGTATCTTCTAAGCAAAAGTTTGCCGGCAGTTCCCAAACATCCAGAGCAAGGGATCCCTCTCGCGTTTCGGAAATATTTACTTCATGAAACAGAACGGCTAAAATGGCGTCAAGGAATCGAGACCTAATCGAATAATTGTGAAAAGATGGACCCAAGTTCAGTTGCTTTTCTTCAAACTGGGAAAGATTCAATTTCAGCTTTCTTGAGAATTTTGGTACTGCAACTTTGGTGAAGACTAAGTCACCACAGCCTACGAATCTTACAATCTCAGTGACATTAATCGACATCAAAACCTTATTCGGCTAAGTGAACTCCGAAACGGAGAGATTAAATTGTCCTCAACTAAAGAATGTCCCCCATTTTATTACTATGCTGTAAACCCAACCGATCCATTTTCGACACGTGTTTGTAACTCTAAGCTTCACACAAATGTGATGCTGGTAGTGAATATGTTACCACTATGTCTCCGAAAAATGTGCTCTGCACTAATGTAGGCAGCCTCAACGACAAAAGTATGAGCCTATCACAATAACAATCAATCGTGTCTGCGCCATTAGCTCTTCTCAGATCCCTCAAAACTTCACGAACGATCCAACAACTTTCAGTCGGACACTGAGACTGTCATGACCGATGAAAACAGAGGTCCTCTTGGGACATGCCAAAGGCCTCCTAGTACTGCAGTTCATGCTAGAACATACATGCACCACAACATGGAATTCCGAGCATGTTGTCTTCCCTCAGTTTAAAAGTCTATTCGCAAATCAATTATA